CTCAAATTCTCTGCTTCATAGCATTGAATTTGTTTCAAATTTCCCTTTGCGTACCCTATTTAAGTATTAGGAAGTAAAACTCATTGTTAGTGAAACGAAAAACCAAAATTGACAATTCTAGGTCAAGAGGAAATACCCTATAGGTTTTGGGTCGTGAGCGTATTAGGTAGTTCACGTTGCCTAGAATCACGAAGTTTGACAAAAAGCAGACTTACAGCACAAATAAAGGAAAATTAAGGTAAATTTTGGTACTAACAAGTTTTCGCGACAATCTAAATATGATGCCTCTCATATCTCTTTGTCATGTTGACTCAGGATCTTGATTTATACAACCTAATAGAGACTATAGACCTCAGTATCAGGTATAAATTTAAACTCGCTAGGTCCACCGGTTCCTGAGAAAATCGGTGGTGATTATTTACCATTTTTATTATGGCGGCATAATGGGTTGGTACGGAACCCTCGGCGTTCAAGTTCGAGTCGCACTTGACCGATTTGTTTTTTTTTTCTATTTTAGTACATGTAAGGGAGGTAACCATAGACGGTAAACCCCGTTACGACTTGGAAACCTTCAAGAAGAGAGCATATTCTCTCCTGAGAGGCCGGCAACGCTTTTGCAAGCTCTCCGGTGTTCTAGATGTCCATGTGTGGCGGTGATCACTTTCCATCAGGTGAGCTTTCGCCAACCCCAGTCATCATCGTCATCATCACCAATTCGGCCTGTTTGAGTACACTGCTGAACATAAGCCTCATAAGCATCCATCGACTTCCCGCACACTTGCAAGCTTCCATCTAGTTGGGGTCGTCCTACACTACTAACATTTTTATAAATATAAGAAATCATTACACCTCACTTATAGAACTTTAAAATCACACAAACTAGACTCCGCACCCGTTCGATGGAATTTCACGGAAGCGAATACCGATTGAAAAACTGCTTTCCGCCCCGCACCAGCTGAAGGTGTTGTTGACACATGGTCGCCATTCGTCGCTCTAGCAAAAACGGCTACTTTCGAATAGCCATTCTTTCTTGTGTTCAAAATCACTGACGTACAATGTCGAGGCTTCGCCAATTGAAGCATTGTTTTTCGAAACGCAGATATGCCTTAATAACTGCAGTAAACTTTGAGACATGATAATAATTGTCCATATTCGAAACACTACTCTTTATTGACTTTTTATTTTGATGTTTTCTTAATAATAACGAAACCAATAAGCTTTTATCATGAGTAGTAATGGAAAACTATGTCCTATAACTGTGTAACTCTATATATGAAATGATGTCAAGTTAATTTTATAATGTTGTTTGCCGTTTAATCTTAATTAGAAAACAGAATATTACATCACAACTACTAAATATTTATTTGTACAGACTCAGTGGGTATAGTCGAGGATACAATGAATTCATGGTTGAAAAACTTGCGTTAATTATATGTACAAAACGAGTATAATGTCACAGTATTTAATGTGTGAAATAAATACTATTTTAATATACAGAACTTATTCATACCGTCATTCGGCGAGTCGCCAAATAATTAGGTTATCAGATAATTTAGTCACAACGGAAAACAGAATAATGGGATGGTTCCTTAATGCACAATGTAAAAATAATTTATTTAAAATAGATCTTACATAATAAGCTATTACATTGTCCGTTAATGAACACTAAATCAATTGCGGTGCGAACTTCGAGTTGTGTTTCATCGATCAAGATGTTGGTTGTGTGTGAAAAAACGTGTTTGGACATTATCCTAATTAACACTTCTGCGTAGCATGTGGCGGTTGGCAGCAAATCATCAGTGTTCGGTTGGTGCACGTGGGACGCCCGCGCGTTGCTAGGCAACGGCGGGACCGTCCATTGATTAAGACGCATATATGCAGAATCTCATAACGTATAACATAAATGATAGTTGATTGAATAAGACATCTACTGGTTGTATAGACCTTTAACAATTTTAATGTGCTTATTTGCCGCGTGTTCGGCCGTGAAGGAAATCGTAGTAAAGCATACCGGAATAAAATAAAAAATATATAAATGCAATGAATAGAAAACATATCCAAAACGCAGAGGTACAGAGAGTCTTTGGCTCAGCAATGACGCATATAATATATAGGAAAGAAATATATTACTTACTTATTATTACTGTTGCATTAATAATTGAAACTAGTGACAGAATAGTTTCAGTAAGTATTGAACACATAGACCATGATGTAACAGCTACGAATGGTGAGTCGGTCAACTTTTTTTTTTCTTTTTATTAAAAAACCACATTGCCCTTAAGATAACATTATCCTGTGCTGTAAGGACGTATTACAAACATAAATTCTACGTGAACAAACACCTAGATGCGTGTTTCAAACGGGACAACTATCAAACCCTCGATCCGCGACGCCGAAGCCAATATCTTGGCAGCCACAGAGTCATCAAGATCAACAATAGGTGAAATCAAAAACAGAAATATTCTCTGAGAGTTATTGATCCCGTTTTACTCTTTGGGTACGGAACCCTAAAAACTCACGCACTCTACTCATCACCTTTGTTGCCACCGATCTCTGTTTTTAATACATGAGTCCCCGAGCGACTAATACCGTAAGAGTATCTATAATAATTATTATTTAAAATTACTCTCTTTAACGGTTATACTGCGTTTGATATATGCTTATTTGAATTCCCGACGTTTCCATACTTTTCACAATTATGGCCCCAAATGACGGCTACAAATAGTGTTGTACTGGTAAAAGGGTTGATTTTAGCATGACCTTCAGAGAGCGCAATGAAATAGGTACATGCTTTACTGAGTTACTTTTATATATAACCGATTTTATAAGGTGGCAAAGTAACGAGATTATGTGTAGGTAAAAGTTAACAGTACTAAGAATTAGAATAAGTGGAAAAATTAATAAACCAAACGATGGTTTTACTTTACAAAAGATATAGTTATAAAATTATTTTTTTATGTTTAGGACTACTAACACATTTGTACACAACATTTTTCTAGTCCCAAACTAAGCAAAGCTTGTACTATGGGTACTAGAAAACTGATAAACATACTTAAACATACTTTTATTTTGTAAATAAATACATATTATACATATAGAAACACCCGGACACTAGAAAAACACCATGTTCATCACACAATATTTTTGCAGTAGTGGGGATCGAAACCACACCCTCTGGCGCAGGAGGCAGGTACACTACCCACTACGCCATTCGGGTCGTCAAATTTTTTAAAGTTAAATTGTTTCTCAATATGACACAATACAACAATAATGTGATATACAAACGAGTTAGACATGACACTAGCGCACCCAAAATACGCCAATCGGTGTAATTAGACTGCAATTCTATAGACTGTTATCACTTTCTGTATCATAAGTTCTATATCAATTGTCACATACACGTATATTTGTCGTATAGTGTAAAGCGGAACAATTTTTAAACGCCCCGCAGCATGGACATACGTCAAGTCTTTATTAAAACATTATTGAGTTACAGTTCTTATGATGCAGTCTTTAACAAAATCTTATTACTTCTGTTAACTGTAGTTACGGCTGAGTGAGGTAGCCGGAGTCCACTTTATTCCTTAATAACCCGTAGGGTTGCAGATGCGTTGCCACCAAGGTGGCATGGTGCCACCCCTACGGGTGATGCAGATGTCCATGGGCGGCGGTTATCACTTAACATCAGGTATAGGCTAGTATGCCACTTTTTCACATAATAATATTTTGTTCAGATTTGAATGAAATGATTATCTCTGGTTATCCTTGGCTAACCGTGGGCGTACTTACAAGTGTACACGTGGACTGCAGAATTAAAAGGGCGGAATATCGTAACAAGATAAGGAAAGAAAATATATAAGAAAAGGTTTTGTTGTATCCTCCTTATTTGTCCTTGTTACTGTCGAATGGAAGGGTAGGAACTTTACACGCGTCAATATATCAGACAAGCACTTTAATTGTTTATTAACAAAAACCAAAACCGACTTCAAATTTCTCACGGTACATTTACTATATGACTTACAGGAGTTCCCTAATGTATCCTGGAGTCTACCAATTAATATGGGACAACATGGGAGCAAAACAAATGAAAGAATAATATTTAATATCGGTTCACGAATAACGGTTCAAGGTTACGAATAAAGAAAGGTACACGCAGGGCATGCAATAATCTTCACTGTGGCACGAATCGGCAGTACTTCTGTTCTTCGTCTGTCCGGGGTCCACTTTAGTAAAAGGTGACAGCGCATCAGCAACTCTACGGGTGTTGCAAATGCCAGTGGGCGATGGTTAGCACTTAAGATCAGCTCGTTTGCCACCTTCTCCCATAAAAAACAGCCCTGCGTTGAGAACCTTCTCCTGTTTGAAGTCGATTGAAAACTAGCTACAACCCACAAAAGCGATAGTAATAACAAAGTAACATGTAACGTCTTATAAGCTACGTGTAAAGTAAGAAACCCAACACTGTGGTAGGGCTAGGCAGCCGCTTCCACTGCCGAATGGGCAGGCTTGTCATACATTACCCTGGGATACATTTTCACATTTCGTTTGGCGAAAGCGGCAATCGGTCCACTTTCGGACCGATTGCCGCTGTGTCTGTGCCGCAATGTTTTAAACATTGGCATCGCATCTGCAACCGTCAAGTGTTGTAGATGTTGAAGGATTTCGGCAATAAAATAAAGTAAAATAAAATATAACTTACAAACATTTTTAAATCAGGTTCCTACGATCCAGCATAATCAAGTTATGATTTTTTTTACAAAAAGATTCCCCTATTGATGTTGACAGCAAATGACTATTTTAACGACGATGTGGAAATTACTTCGGGCTCAAAATAGAAACTACCCCGTAAATATTAATAATAGTGCAACACTTACCTTTACCCTGAGAAGGCTGTGCCCACACCAGTTATATGCCATACTTACTTACTCTCACTATCTAAATCATTCACGATTGCGTTTATAGACTTTTTTCTATTTATTTTATTATTTCTCTTTATTTTACGGTGGTAGCACGCAGCAGCCTCGGCTGTTGCACGAATGGGCAGGCTTGTCATACATTACCCTGGGATACATTTTCACATTTCGTTTGGCGAAAGCGGCAATCGGTCCACTTTCGGACCGATTGCCGCTGTGTCTGTGCCGCAATGTTTTAAACATTGGCATCGCATCTGCAACCGTCAAGTGTTGTAGATGTTGAAGGATTTCGGCAATAAAATAAAGTAAAATAAAATATAACTACAAACATTTTTAAATCAGGTTCCTACGATCCAGCATAATCAAGTTATGATTTTTTTTTACAAAAAGATTCCCCTATTGATGTTGACAGCAAATGACTATTTTAACGACGATGTGGAAATTACTTCGGGCTCAAAATAGAAACTACCCCGTAAATATTAATAATAGTGCAACACTTACCTTTATCCTGCGAAGGCTGTGCCCACACCAGTTATATGCCATACTTACTTACTCTCACTAGCTAAATCATTCACGATTGCGTTTATAGACTTTTTTCTATTTATTTTATTATTTCTCTTTATTTTACGGTGGTAGCACGCAGCAGCCTCGGCTGTTGCACGAATGGGCAGGCTCGTCCGGGTAAGTACCACGACCTCACAGACCGGCGTAAAGTGGAAGTATAATACTTCGCGTTTCGTCTGGTGAGTGAGGTGGCCGGAGCCCAATTTTCAAAAGGTAGTCAACGCATCTGCAACCAGCGGGTGTAGCAGATGTCCATGGGCGGCGGTATTCACTTAACATCAGATGAACCGTCTGCTCGCTTGCCAACTTTTCACATAAAAAAAAATATTTGTGCCTGTGCTCACTGTTCTCAAAAAGTAAATCATAGTTGGACTTAAATATTAACTAAATGTAATCTCGTGTCGACATATATTTATTACGTCAGCACTGTTATAATCAAACCGCAATGAAAAACGACGGCATCAAAAAGAGCTTCTTTGACGTTGAAGTTTCATTCTTTGTTTTATTTTTCTGTCAGCTGTCCATCGGGCTTTTTGTCATACGTATTATGGGAAACATGGCCCATGGGAAGCTGGAAGTGCGTACCGGAAGCAATGCTCAACGAACAAGTTGCGTAGCGTTTCGTGGGCCACGCACGAGGGGGCGCGAGAAGGCTGCGCCGCTGCGGTCGCGCATCCGCCCCGTCACTTCCGGCGATCGGGTTTCGAGCCTTCGGCACTTTTTCTCCCGGTGACTCGACAGGACGGGTGCGTTTTTTTCGAACGTCGATATCCCGCATCAATGGGAATCGATCTGCCGACTCTATTTGTTTATTTACGTAGCGTTCTAAAGGACGAAGTGTCCGGAAGTGGAACTCGAGACGATCAATCGTCTCAGTCAGCTCAGTGAAGTTATTTGAATGGTTTTTTAATGAGTTCAACTTCTGTTAAGAAGGCTGCTAATGTTACTTTTGTAATGTGTGTGTTTATCTGTATTTTGTGTGGAAGGGATTGGGCAGTGAGGCCTAACAATCACTGCCCGTAACATTCAGACAGAAAGACAGATATACATAAAAATATCTATATAAACTATAGCTTATATCTTAATCTGATGTATAAGCTATATTATTGTAAAGTTTCATTAGAATCCATTCAGTAGTATTTGCGTGAAAGAGTAACAAACATCCATCCATACATACAAACTTTCGCCTTTATAATATTAGTAAGGATCTGGTAGTCTTCCCTTCGAAAACATACTTCGTTCCTAATTACTGTAAGATTACACTATCCTGTGTTGTGAGGACGTTTTACATAAATAAATTTCACGTGCACAATCACCCAGATCCGAAACAATTGATCCACGTCACAGAAATAGTTATCTCGTGTGGGAACTGAACCGACGACCCCAGCGCCGAAACCAATCTCGGCAACTGGGCAACGGAACCCTTTTCTGACGATACTCCTATAAAGTAGCCTACGTTTCGATTACTATGTAATAAATAAAACTCACTATTTTAATTGTTTAATTAAAGAATGGATTTTTTTTTTGGTGAATGCAAAGGATATTTCTCGATAGTAGGCCGTTGACGTGACGTCGGTGGACATCCACAACAGTCGAGGAGTTGCAATTGCGTTGGCACCCTTTAAGAGGCTGCGCACCGCTTATCTCACGCAGCAGGCAAAATTACAAGTACTTGTCGTTTACGCCGGTCTTCTATGAGGTCCTGGTACTTCACATAAATATCTGCCCAAGTAATGCAATGGTAGAACTTGCATGGCTCCTTATATATGACGATACATCAGAAAATTTTAGATATTGTGCCCTAATTTTTATGTTAAGTTTAATTATAACACATAAAAGTGTCCTAAGCATCACTTAGTACGTAACTACAGTTTGCTTGTCGCTTAAGTATTCCGTTAAACGCTCTTTTAACAAAACATTGTATTTATCCGCTATATTCTGACAGGCTTGTCACCTGTCAAAATATAGCTGTCGCTTAACACCCGTTTGAGATAAAGTCTAAAGACTTTATATTAAACAAAGTGTAAAACAAAGTCGTCCCGCTGTCTGTCTGTCCCTATGTATGCTTAGATCTTTAAAACTACGCACCAGATCTGGATGAGGTTTTTTTTACTACATAGAGTGATTCAAGAAGATATGCACTGCACCCATGCGAAGCCGGAGCGGATCTCTAGTATTAAATATGGAAGAATAGCTTGACCTGTTTAAACGATAAGCCGTATCCAGTAATTACTAAGCGGGAAATTTCTCGTGTCAAAGTCTAGCTGTTAACCGCAACTACATTCGCGTGGATTTTAATTTCACGGATCACTCGACGGCTTAAATTAAGTGGTGCCATATAGCTATGTGTCCAGAGTAACGAGATTTTTTTCTGGGAAATCCCCTCGCTCTCTGGTCCATAAATCATCTCTATGCCAAAACATTATTACGATATGTCGGTCCATTACTGCGTGAAAGAAGAACAAATCGCTTATATATATTCGCTTTTATCATTTTAGTAAAGATAATCGGAATTATAAAATTAATACCACGCTTCGTTTAATTAGTGATATCGGTATTTACAAGCATTGCAGCACACCTGTCATTTGAATACATAGCTTAAACTCAAACGCACAGCGGATTTCAATCTATATAGATTAATAAAAATAAAAAAAAATTGGAGTGTCTGTTTGTAATATTAAAATAACCGATTTTTACTAAATTCATATGGATGTATGCACAGTACATATATTACTAAAATAACATTTTTTTAAAAATTGTGTCTGTCTATTTGTCTGTTTATTTTGAAACTTATTTATTTTAAATTCAATGCGGACGAAGTCGCAGTGTCAGCTAGTCCTTACTTCCTTACTAATATTACAAAGGCGAAAGTTTGTATGTATAGATAGATGTTTGTTACTCTTTCACGCAAATACGTTTATATAATTATATAATTTCACGCAAATTATATAATTATATTATATAATTTCACGCAAATACTACTGAACGGCTTTTCATAAAACTTTACAATAATATAGATTATACATCAGAATAAGACATAGGCTATAATTTATATAGATATTTTTATGTATGTCTGTCTTTCTGTCTGAATGTTAAGCCTTCAGCCTATTCTACGGAGACGTGCGACTACGTCTCCAGCAGCTAGTTTTAAATATAAGTCAGCTTTTCATCATACACTGACCCTCCTTATACTCATAAAGCATGTACTTTTTTTATTGGATCCTCGATTGCATTCGGAAGGACACTGGATCACAACACAATTCCGCGCCGGACTTCAAGTATGTGTAGAATTCGAATCCTTGACACGACGCTGCCGACTCTTTCCACTTTCGCAACTCCAGATCAAAGGCTCTAACGAATGGAGAGCGTAACGCAGCACGTTCGTTTCACTCCCGTTTCGATGGAACCCGTGAAAAACATGCCTGCATTCGTAAAAGTACGGATTTTTTACACTTTGAGTACGAAGCTTTTCAGTTGGTTGTTTCCACGTTACTCAGTGACAGCAATTTAACTATGCGTTAAAGTTGCCAGCTTTGTCGGTTAAGCTTGCTTGAAAGACGATTGGGGAGATTTTTAAGTCGTTTTGTGTTTTTTAGAGTTCCGTACGCAAAGGGTGTACTGTTCCATTAATGACTTTATTTCCAATATCGACTGGGTAACACAATTTTCCCAATTTAATGACATTAACCAAATTGTTACGCATTTCTACATACTAACCAGAGAAGTTATATCGAAATTTGTTCCACAGAAAAAAACAGTCAGCTCTGGGAAATATCCGCCGTGGTTTAGTCATAGTTTGATAAGTAGACTTCGTGGAAAAAATAAAATCCGAAAGACATACAATAAATACTGCAATCCAATGGATAGGATAGAGTTAAGTATTTTATCAAAACGGTGTCAGGAGCTCACAACTACGTGTTATAACGCATACATAAATAACATTGAAGACCGAATATCAAGAAATACTAAGGCCTTCTGGTCTTTTGTCAAAAGTAAGCAAGGTGGGTGCAGTTCATACCCTACTACCATGACAGATGGAGTGATGACTGCAAGTGATGGTCCGAGCATTTGTAATCTTTTTGCAAGCCGGTTTGCGGATGTTTATACTAGAGATTCATTACAATCCGACTCAACTTACCCCCAATGTCATAATAGTTTCAGTTTGTCAATCAGTGGCCTCTGTATTCAACTTGAATCTGTAGTACGTGCATTGAAATCCTTGGATATTGATAAAGGCTCTGGGCCTGACAGTATCCCACCCATATTTTTGCGAAACTGCGCCTCTAATCTTGCTGTGCCTCTCTGTTTTATATACAATTTCTCTCTGGCTAAAGGGATACTTCCTGATGAGTGGAAGGTCGCTAAGCTGGTTCCAGTTTTTAAGTTCGGTGAAAATTGTTTAGTGACAAATTATAGACCAACTTCCATTCTTTCAACGCTATCAAAAGTATTCGAAATTCTGATTTGCCCGTACATATCGGACCATGTCAAGCCGCTTATAACAAATCATCAACATGGTTTCATGAAATGTCGATCAACGGCTACAAACTTGGTTTCTTTTGTTGAAAATATTACAGAGGCAATTGATGCTCGCCACGAGGTAGATGTTATTTATACAGATCTTAGCAAAGCTTTCGATAAGGTGCCTCGTAAAATATTAATTAAGAAGTTGTCAAATTTTGGTTTTAATGGAACTTTTCTGACCTTAAAAACTCGTACCTTAAAAATCGTAAATTTTTTGTAGTAGTTAACGGTTTTAAATCAAGGGAGTATAACATAGAGTGGGGAGTACCCCAAGGCTCTAACTTGGGTCCTATTTTATTTAATATTTTCAATAATGACATTGTTGATTATATCTCAAATTCTGTTCTATACCTGTATGCCGATAATTTGAAATTATTACAATAATTAATTCTGAATTTGACTCCTTACTATTACAAGAGGTTTAAATGGCTTGTCACGCTAGTGTGAATTGAACGGAACTAAACGTGGGTAAATGTTTTTATATTAAATTCTCTAGAAAATTCAAAATTATTAAATCTAGTTACTATGTTAATGGAGTAAGGATACAAGAAGCTGAATACATTAAAGATCTAGGTGTGATACTTGATAAAAAGTTAACCTTTGGTGCCCATTTAGAAAGTGTCATAAAAAGAGCTTCTAATATGCTTGGATTTCTTATTAGAATTGGAAGGGGATTCCGGAGGTTAGAATCAAAAAGACTACTATAAAACTCCTTTGTCCTGAGCACTCTGGAATACTGTAGTATTGTGTGGAGACCGCACTATGCATGTCACTCTCTGAGGTTAGAACGAATACAGAAGAGATATCTCTGGCATCTAGCCCATTCTTCGAAACAATGTAGGAAGGGGCTTTCGTACAAAGACAGGCTGAAAAACTTTAAATATACTTCACTAGAAAATCGCAGAACAGAGCTTCATCTTATCTTTTTAAACAAATTATTTAACAATAAAATAGATTGTCCTAACCTGTTAAGTAAATTTAGATTCAATGTCCGAATAGGCTACCTAGAACCCAAATCCAACCATTGGTTCCACCTTTACAACAGTACTGGGCTCAAGCTCGTTTGTCCCCAGAGCGAGACGACTTTTGAATAATTATGGAAAATCAACTGATATTCATGCTGTTAGTCTCAATACCTTTCTCAAGCACTTGCAAGAAACCTTTGTCGATGAGTAGATTAGTCGTATAGCATATATATTTTTAATTAAGTCACAAAAAAAATTAAAAACGCTTTTTTACTACTTTTTTTTTAAA